TACATAATGATAAAAAGGTCAATTCAGCAAAAAGGATATAACAACTCTAAATATATATGGAACCAATATTGGAGCATCCAAACATATAAAGAAAATAATAGGTCTAAAGGGAGAAATAGACTGCAATACAATAATAATAGACAACTTCAACACCCCATTTTCAGCAATGGACAGATCAACCAGACAGAAAATAAATAAGGAAACATCAGAATTAAACTATACTCTAGACTAAACAGACCTCACATTTATAGAACATTTCATCCAGCTGCTACAGAATACATATTCTTCTCATTGGCACATGGAACATTCTTCAGAGTAGACCACATGTTAGGCCACAAAACAAGTCTTAACAAATTCGAAAAAACTGAAATCCTATCAAGTATCTTTTCTGACCACAATAAAATAAAACTAGAAATCAATAACAAGAGGAACTCTGGAAACTACACAAATAAATGAAACTTAAACAACATGCTCCTGAATGATCAATAGATCAATGATGAAATTAAGAAGGAAATAAAACTTTCTTGAAATAATAAAAATGATAACACAACACACCAAAACCTACAGGAAACAGCAAAAGCAGTAATAAAAGGGAAGTTTATAGCAATATACAACATCAAAAAAGAAGAAAAACTTCAAACAAACAACCAAATGCCAATAATTGGAAAATCTAGAAGAAAAGGATAAATTCCTAGACAGATATAACCTGCCAAGATTCAGCCATGAAGAAACAGAAGACCTGAAGAGACCAATAATGAGTAATGAGATAGAAGCAGTAATAGAAAGTATCTCATCTATGAAAAACCTGATGGCTTCACTACTGAACTCCAGCAAACATTTAAAGAAAAACTAATACCAACTAATACCAGTTCTACTCAAACTATTCCAAAAAATTGAAGAGAAGGGGATACTTCTAAACTCCTAAGAGGCCAGCATTACCCTGATACGAAAACCAGACAAAGACACCACACAAAAATGAAAACTGCAGACCTATATCCTTGATAAGCATATATGTAAAAACCCTAAATAAAATACTAGCAAACAGAATCCAGTAACACATTAAAACGATCATTTACCATGATCTTTTTACCCTGAATCCCAAGTGGGATTCATCCCAGGGATGCAAGGATGGTTCAACATACATAAGTCAATAAATGTGATACCACATATTAACAGAATCAAGAACAAGAACCATATGATTTCAATAGATGCTGAGAAAGCATTTGATAAAATTCAATATCCCTTCATGATAAAAACTCTCAATGAACTGAGTATAGAAGGAACATACCTCAAAACAGTAAAGGCCATATATGACAAATCCACAGCTAGCATCATACTAAATAGAGAAAAATTGAAAGCCTTTCCTCTAAGATCTGAAACAAGACAAGGATGCCCACTTTCACCACTTTTATTCAACATGGAACTGGAAGGCCTAGCCAAAGCAGTTAGACAAAAGAAAGAAACAGCAACAAAACTAGAAAGGAAGAAGTCAAATTGTCCTTGTTTTCAGATGATTTGATCTTTTATTTAGAAAAATCTAAAGACTCCACTAAAAAATTGTTTGAGCTGTTAAACAAATTCAGTAAAGTTGCAGGATACAAAATCAACATATAAGAAAGATCTCTACAATAAAACGCTGATGGAAGAAATTGAAGAGGACACCAAAAAAAAAAAGGGAGAGTTATCTCATGTTCATGGATTGGAAAAATTAATATTGTTAAAATGTCCGTATTACCCAAAATGATCTACAGACTCAATGCAATCCCTATCAAAATACCAATGTGGCCGGTCACGGTGGCTGAGATCTGTACTTCGAGAGGTTGGAGGATTGCTTGAGTCCAGGAGTTTGAGACAGTCTGAGTGACATAGCAAGACCAAGTCTCTATGAAAAATAAGAAAAATTAACTGGATGTGGTGGTATGGCCTGTAGTCCCAGCTACTCTTGCTAAGGCAAGGGGATCACTTGAGCCCAGAAGTTCGAGGCTTCAGTCAGCTATGACCACGCCACTGCACTTTCAGCCTAGACAACAGAGTGAGATCTCATCTTAAACAAACAAACAAAAATACAATGACATTCTTCACAGAAATGGAAAAACAATCCTAAAGTTCGTATGGAACCACAACAGAGCCTAAATAACCAAAGCAATGCTAAAAGAACAAAGCTGGAGGCATTATATTACCTGACTTCAAAGTATACAATGAAGCTATAGTAAGCAAAACAGCATGGTACTGGCAAGTACACAGACACACAGACCAATGAAACAGAATAGAGAACCCAGAAGTAAATCCACACATTTAGAGCTAACTTATTTTCAATAAAGGCATTAAGAATATATATTGGGGATAGGACAGTCTCTTCAGTAAGTGGTTCTGGAAAAACTGGATAACTATATGCAGAAGAAAAAAACTAGATACCTATCTTTCATCATATACAAAATCAAATAAAATGGATTAAAGATGTAAATGTAAATCCTGAAACTATGACACTACTAAAAGAAAACACTGGGGAAGTGCTTCAGGACATTGGTCTGGGCAAGGACCTCTTGAGTAAGACCTCAAAACCATAGGCAGTAAGAGCAAAAATAGGCAAATGGGATTACATAAAGATAAAAGGTTTCTGCACAGCAAAGGCAACAATCAACAAAGTGAAGAGACAACCTACAGAATGGGAGAAAATACATGCAAACTATTCATCTGATAAAGGATTAATAACCAGAATAGATAAGGAATTCAAACAACTCAACAGCAAACAAAGAAACAAAAAAAAATCCAATTTAACAATGGGCAAAAGATCTAAATAGCCATTTCTTAAAAGACATATATTATTAACAGGTATATGAAAAAATGATCATTAATCATTATCAGGGAAATGCAACTCAAAACCACAATGAGATACTATCTCACCTTAGTTAAAGTGACTATTATCAAAAAGACAGAAAATAATAAATGCTAGGAAGGATGTGGAGAAATGGGATACTGGTAAACTGTTGGTGGGTGGGAATGTAAGTCAGTACAGCCACTGTGGAAAACAGTATGGAAGTTCCTCAAAAAACTAAAAATAGAACTACCATATGATCCAACAATCCCACTGCTGGATTTACATACAAAAGAAAGGAAATCAGTCTACCAAAGAGATATCAGCACTTCCATGCTTGTTGCAGCACTATTCACATAACCAAGATATGAAATCAACCTAAGTTTCCATCAATGGATAAAAAAAAAAAGTGTTATATACACACAATGGAGTATTATTCAGCCATAAAAAAGAATGAAATCCTGTCATTTGCAGCAACACTGGTGAAACTGGAGACCATTGTTAAGTGAAATAAGCCAAGCACAGAAAGACAAATACCTTATGTTTCTCACTCCGATGTAGGAGAATTTAAAAAAAAAACTGGTCTCATGGAGGCAGTAAATAGAATGGTGCTTATCAAAGGCTGGAAAGGGTAGTGGTGCAAAGGCTATGAAGAGGGTTTGGTTAATTGATACAAACATACAGTTAGAAGGAATAAGTTCTAGTGTGTTCAACTGCATAATAGGGTAACTATAGTTACCAATAATTTATTGTATATTTCCAAAACAGCTAGAAGCAAAGACTTGGAATGTTCTCAATGTAAGGAAATAATGTTTGACAGGATGGATATCTCAATTACCCAGATTTGGTCATTCCACATTGTATGCTTATATCAAAGTATCACATGAACCCCATAAATATAACTATTATGCATCCATAAAAATTTTTAAAAATGGAACACAATGAGATATCACCTCGCATCCATTAGGATGGTCACTATCAAAAAGACAAATGTTGGTAAGGATGTGGAAAAAAGGGCAATCTTATCCACTGTTCATGGGAATGTAAACTGGTATGGCCATTATGGAAAACAGTATGGAGATTCCTCAAAAAAATTATAAATAGAAATATCCTACGATCTAGCAATATATACTACTGAGTATATATCCAAAGGACACAAAATCAGTCTCTGAAGGAGATATCTGCACTCCCACGTTCATTGCAGCAATATTCATAATAGCCAAGATATGGAAACACCTATGTGTCCCTTAACAGATGAATGGAACATGAAATTGTGATATATAATTTTGATACATATCTGTATGTCAAAATTAAAGAAATTGTGGATATACACACACACAATGGAATATTATTCAGCCTTAAAAAAGGAAATTTGTTACATGTATGAACCTGGAAAACATTATGCTAAGAGAAATGAGCCAAGAAAAATACTGCACAATCTCTTATATGTGGAATTGGTATTGTATACTTGAAATTTGCTAAGAGTAAATCTTAAGTGTTTTCACCACACATAAAAAAAATAGTAACTATGTCGAGATGAATATGATAATCAGCTTAACTGCAGTAATAAGTTCATTATGTATATTAAAATATCAAGTTTTATACCTTATATATACAATTTTGAAAAAATAAATAAGAAATGTAATTCATTCCTTCCATCTCAGTAATCTCTTATTTTCACTAGTTTTCTTCATAATTTACAATTTCCTTAGTTACATGAGCATTTGTTCAGTCCTTCCTCCATTAGAACACATGCCCTCTGAGAACAAAAATTTGGTCTTAGTAAAACCACTGTATTTTTACAACACCCAAAATATAGCGCTTTCACCTTCAGATTCTAAAACGTGTCATTTCTTTCCTAACAACACACTAGGTGCCTCGCACACGTGGTCAATACTGTTATGAACGAGTGAGGTGGAAGGGAAAGGGGGCGGTATTTCCAATATAAGATGAGAAAACCGAGGCCAAGCGAGTAAGTGACTGGGCCCACTGCTCGCGGAGACATGCACTGAAACTTCTGAACTCAGGACCCTAACGGACTTTCTTGTCCTTCCCCTAATCAGTTGCAGGACCATGGTCCCGTCTTAATACTGTGACACTGCCTTCTGAACTGGTCCCTTCGTCCTCCTCAGTTTCTCTTCTTACTTTCCGTGAACGAAACCCACCGTCCAACCTTCAGTTTTACCTGAATCGAGACCAAAATTCTCTGCGTGGCGCCCCTGAGACTATCCACATGAAGCCTCTTCTGGTAACGCCGGACACAGACAGCGCCGCCATTTTCGAGGAAAGCCACCGGCCTGTGCTCAACCCTCAGCCGACAGTGTCGCGCCCAGACTAACCAATAGGATGCAAGTTTAGTAGCAGGTGTTCCCCTTTTCCTAGCACCTCCCTCTCCCTTTGCACGCCGGGAAATGTAGTCCGGTAGCCATCGCCAGCGGAGGCTGCACCACGACCCTCTCTCGGAGCATGACGGGAGTTGTAGTTTGGGGGCGTCCCAAGAAAGATCCGGGTGACGCCTTCTGGTCCGGGGGCGGGCGGTCATAGCGCTGCTTGGCTGAAAAGAGGAGGGACTGGCAGTGGGGAGGAGGCTCTAGTGAGGCCTGAAAGGCTGCGCAACCAGGCAAGGGAGGAGGTTGGGGGTTTGGGGTTCGGAGTTGGAGGCTAGCCAGGGAGCGTGTCTGATATGCTGCTGGGGTCGTGATCGGCTGGGGACCGGGGCAGGCGCTGGGTAGACCCAGCAGGGAAGCCTTCTCGTCGTGGGGCCTGATTTCCAGCAGCCGGGTAGGCCTCACCACAGGCTCCTTTCCGAACGGCAGCCTCGGGTTCCTACCCTCATTCTCTGGCCGGGAGATGGCTTCCCCGAGCCCTCCGCTGGAGCCAAAGGTAAGCAAGCTCCTGTGGGGATCCCCGTTGTCTCGCCACTGCCCTAGGTAGGCCGCACCACAGCTTCCCCCCACACCCCGCCCGCCTCATGACTGCCTTCTTTAAGGGCCTGCACCGTGCAAGGAATCCCTGCACCCCGAGTTTTCTGGGGTGCGGTTCCCAAACAAACTGCCCAGGGGCCCCTTCCTTTCCAAGAGAGATTTGATAAATCGGCTGGGGAAAATTAGTAATGCTCCAAGCTTTCTCTCTCATTAGTGAGTTCCTCCAGGTAAGGCACCATTTTTTACCTTCCCCTGTGTCTTCTGCGCCTGGCACTATGCCTGGACCTAAGGTATACGCTTACAGAACCTCAAGGAATTGAACAGGGTCATAAGCCAGCGCGAATGGAGAATTGGAGCAGAGCAATGAGGTGAGGGAAGCTTGGAGAGGCCTTGGAGCAGTTTATTAAAATTAAGATGTTAGGGTATAATTATTAAACCAGAAAAACCTTGTCCTTAAGTCTAGGTCCTTCACTACGGAGGATAAGGATCAACTGCAGTTATCCTCGAATCCGAGGTGCTAGTCAATTATAGTCGGTTCCCAGAATTGGGCACCATATGGAACTCTTAGGTACCATGTTCCTCCTAGCCTACTTGGCCCTGATAAGTGATTGCTTCTGCCACTCTGAGTGGAAAATTGTCCTTGAGACAACAGGAACTGACTACAGAAATCATACTATTTCAGGGGTTGCTGACATTTGAGGATGTGGCTGTGTTTTTTACCCAGGAGGAGTGGGATTATCTGGACCCAGCTCAGAGAAGCCTGTATAAAGATGTCATGATGGAGAATTATGGAAACCTGGTCTCACTGGGTAAGAATCTGCTGTTTCTCTAATTAACTAAGAAGGTACTAGACATCAGACTCAGAGAACACTTGGACTAAACCAGCACCAAAACTGCTTTGTTCCAAAGTTCTGATTCAAACCTTTCAGCCATTAACTGTTTCCATGACTGTCATCCCTAACTTCCTTGCAGTGACTAAAATGCAAGCCTTTCTGGCTTCCTGTCTTCATAATCTCATTCCCATATTGCTCTGTACTTTCCCTCCTGGCTCATCCTCCCACTGCTTTCCTCCCACTTCTTTTCACTCTGCCTTCTGGAGCCCCTGTTCCTCTTCACATAATGTTCCTTACCCCTCCTGGCCTTAAGTGAAACCTGGCACTTTCCCAACGACACCACTTCTCTGGCAGTCCTTGACGTGGGGGCTGCTTATTCTCCCACATCCTCCTCTTTCTCCATCCTTTGTCTCAAAGCTGGCAGGAAGAAGTTATTGTTCTTTCAGCTTTTCAATGCTGTTCCCAAAGCATTAGTTTTCCACCTTCAAATAAAATCTCTCCTCCTTTGAGGCCTCAGCAGTCTTGCTGTACCCACTCAATTCCTTTTCACTATCATCTGTCAACTTTTTTTTTGATCCTTCACATAAAACTTTGTCACATGTTTCACAGTCTTCTCTACCTTAACTCATGTCATTGATGACCCAGTCAATACTTGAGTTGTAGTAGATCTCTACCATATTGACTTCAGGCACCCTGCTTTCCATTATTTTTCAGCAACTCATATACCCTCAAGTTTGTTGTAACAGGAAAATCTTAAGCCTGAACATCCTATTCTCTGACTAGCTATTCAGGCAATAAATGTTTATTGACTGTAACTAAACTAAACAAAGGTAAACAAAACTGACATGCTTTCTGTCCTTGTGGAGCTTACTACAGTTTCTTATCTTTCTATCTTTCCTGCTCCTGTCCACCTAAACCTATTCATTCTTAATGATGTTTCCTGTCCCTTGACATCTTTGTTTTTTTCACCGGGGTGTCAATCCTCTCCCAACTTCACCTCCCCTTCCAGTCACCAACATGCTCTCTTGCCACCTTGTCATTGTGATCTACCAGTTCTGCAAACTTCAAAGCCTGTGTTTGTTATAAAATTCACCTTTCCTTCTCTCCCACCTGAGTTGCTAAACACAGCAGGAGAAATCTCTGACTGAAAGGATCGATGTCCTGTCTGTATGCATGGCTTTTTCCTTCTAGTCTCCACTGGGGTTTTGTATCTCGGCAATTTTTTTTCTCCTTGATATGCTTACTCCTTTGTTCTACTTAGTGACTATTTCAAAAACTTAAGGAGTTTTCCTTGAGTCCATCACTCAGTAGTAGACCTCACCCTCTTTTTCACAGAGAAAACAGAGGCTGCTAAGTATGAAGTTTCAACTTCTTTACCCCTCATCTGCACTCTTAACGCTGTTCCCATCATCTTACTTTTCAGAAACTTATCATCAATCATCTTTTTCCTCTTCTTATAGCTTCAATCTACCTCTTCTTCCTTGGTACCTTTATTCTGATGATTGATATATTCATGACTCTTCCAATTGGGGAAAAGAGGAGAAAAACAAAAAAACCCTCCTAGGAGCCAGAGTCTTTCTCTTGCTTCTCCCTATAACTTGCTACCCTTTCACTTCACAGTCAAGTTTTTTAAGAGTGGTTTATGTGCGTTCTGTACTTCTTTACCACCCCTTATCTCTAAGCCCCTTTGTCTTGCCTGCAACACTCCCCTTAAATTGTTTAGCAGTGGTATATACTAACCTCATTGTCAAATGCAGTAGACTCTTTTTGGGCCGTATTTTATTCCACTTCTTTATGAATATCTGAAATTCTTTATTGCTTCCCTCCATTGGCTTGCATCCTCAGACTATACATTTTCCTTAGAAGACTTTACACTTAACTTGATCAGCTACCACTATGTGATGACAAATCTCAAATCTTTATCTCCACCTAAGAAAGGTAATGTGGAGCCTAACTGCCTAGGTTCAAATGCTGGTTCCACCACTTGTTTAGCTTTGTGACTGTGGGTGACACACTTAATTTCTCTGTGCCTTTATTTCTTTTTTTATAAAATGGAAATAAAGCCTCTCATAGAATTATTGTGAGCATTAACTGAGTTAATATTTGTAAAGCACTTAGGACACTGACTAGCATGTAGTAAGTACAGCTTAAGTGTTGGTTGATACTGTTATCATCATTTTCTCTGTTGAACTTCAAATTCTTAGTCATATTCCTTTGAAGGCCACATAAGTAACTCAAACCTGGCAACTCTCAATCCATTATAATTTCAAGAGCCTAATCTTCAGAGTGAAGCACTATATTCTCTGTGCTACCTTGTGTATACTTTACTTGCTGAACTTACCATTACTATGCTATAATCATTCTTTATATGTTATTTCTCTAATTTCACTGATGACCATGAGGACATTAAATATATTTTTTTATTTGATTTCTCCAGCACTTAAAACAGAGCCAGGCCTATATTATATGCCTCTTAAATACTTGTGTGACTAAATAAGTACAGCTGATTTAAGACTCAGTATCTCTTAACTGGATTATTACATTAGCCCCTAGTCTCCCTTTCTTTTAATATATTCTGTCTACTGCTGCCAAAGTGATTTTGTATTAGTTAACTATTTAGAACTTCTGATGGTTCCTGGCCAGGTGTGATGGCTCATGAGTATAATCCCAGCGCTTTGAGAGGCCAAGGTAGGAGGACGGCTTGAGGCCAGAAATTCGAGACCAACCTGAGTAACATAGCAAGACCCTGTCTCCACAAAAAATAAATTAGCCAGCTGTGGTAGCTGTAGCCTAGCTACTTAGGAGGCTGAGGCCAGAGGAATGGTTAAGGCCAGGACTTCAAGGCCCCAGTGAGCTATGTTTGAGTCACTGTACTCCAGCCTGGGTGACAGAGTGAGACCCTATCATAAAAAAGAAAAAAACCTTCTGATAGTTCCTGATAGCTTAAAGAATAAAAATCTTAATTTCTTATCCTATCCTATCATACTAAGACCTCCCAAGTATAGACTCTGACTGACTTTCTTGCCTCGGTTGTTATTTCCTGCACACCACTCAATCTTCAGCCATATCAACTGCTGATTTTTTTTTTTTTTTAAGTATGTCATGATGTCTCTGAGTCACTGCCAGCTTACCCATACATATGGTATTCTGGTTGATAAAACCAGGCAAGTACCCAGCCCTGCTTGCCCATAGTACTGCAGCATGTGTATAACATATGGACAAAGGCGTGGCGGGGAGCCCATCTGTGATCTTGTACTTTTAGGCTCTCTTTATTTCAACTTAAATACAACTTTCTATTATTGATTATTTCTCCTCCCATAGTCTTTTCATTCTCCTCAATGGACCCTATCTCCATCCCTTTGATGAGAGCTCCCTTGATGAGAGATGGCTTATTACTCTGATGTTCAACATAGTGTTCTTGCTACTTTGTCTTACTGGTTTTCATAACACAATTCTCTTCTAGATTTATAATTTTGGCTCTTCATTCATACCTTAAAAAAACTTGAATAACTACATCGATGATACATCTGATAGTTTGATCTCTCAGTTCTTTGACCTCTTCAATTTTAAC